TAAGCTGTACAATTTGCATATTAGTGCTATTTGTCCCATTTTTAGTAAGAAGACCATTGTGATTTTATGTCAATGAAAGTTAGACATCCAGCTAGTAATCAGATACACAAGGAATTGTTACTCAAGCAACTGGATAGCTTTTGAAAACAAACTGTCATACTTCGGACAGTTTTTAAAATCTATCCAATTGCTTGAGTAACAATTCCTTGCATAGATGTAATTTCATACATTCTCATATTCATTCATACACATACACATTCTTTCAAAGTTTCATACCTATTATGTTAACAGTAGCATTTTCCTCCCCTGCTGAGGAAGTATTGTGTGGATAACTCATGTGAGGCATAGGAAAAAAAATGTTGTGTTTCCTGTTTCCTGACCGACCCTAGAAAAAACTGCTGACCCTAGCCTTTCTCATGTGGACCCCTGCATGGAACATAAACTTTTCGAGCTAATCAACCTTCTCTAGCTCCATGATCTGACACCTGAGTGATGAAATGTTCTACAATCTGTTTTCCAACATTGACATTGAAAATATCCTCAGTTTAAGTGTCCTCATGCAGGTTTTACTTTGTTAAACTGTATTATATAAGTTGGATCAGTACTGATTGCGTAAGTAAGTACATTGTAAATGAATAAAGTTTTGAAAAAGTGAAGAAAAAACGTATAATTCCTACCTAGCGACCCTAATTTTTTCAGGACTGGAAACACATTTTTTTTCCTAAGCCTGAGGCCACACCAATTTAATTTTGTTGGTTAACGGATTGGCCCGCTTCATTTTTTTCTAATTTGCAAAAAAAAAATTCAGAACCAACTGCAAAATGCTCATATTTTGCCCTGAACAGTTGAAAACAGTCCTTTTCATCCTTGTTGTTATAGTTATTCCATCTTTCAATGCAGTAGTATCATGAAAAGTTCAAAATTTAGAAGCAGCCTGGTGTGTTGACTTAATGGCTCCTATTGTACCATTTTGGGCCATAATAGGATGCCTAGGCCTGTTTTTTTCGCCCGCCCGCCCGCTCCATTATTTTTCTACCAAATCCATTAACCAAGAAATTAAATTGGTGTGGCCTGAGGTATTGTGTGGATGATTTATGTGAGCATACCAAATGTAATTTGTCAGGGATTTAGTTAAGTGGTCATCAGAGCCGAGGTCAGGGAGGCTGACCTCACCACGTGTGTGGTGGGATGATGAATGAGTAGGCTTGTGGAAGCAGGGCGCGAAATAGTTTTTTCTGCACTTAGTGCTGTGTACCTAAACCCACATTTAGGTTCAAGTCCAGAGGTTTAGGTTCAGTTCCGGACTCGTAAATCCGGACCAAAACCCATGGCATATACAAAATTGCATGTTGGCAACCTTGCAATGTTGTCTGGGCAAAACTGGCCCCACATAACATGGAGGCCGACACTTGACAATGCCCGATGGCATTGTTTTCTTCATTTTGCAGCACAGATTTTGCAAGATCTATGGAAGGTTTTAGGTGGTTTGGAAAGAAAAGGGGTATGTGGCATGGGTTTTTTTTTGTTGTAATAAGTCCGGAATCGGTTCTTGACTTTTAGTTTTTTTTTTACTTGAACCTAAACATTTTTACAAGTCTGGAACCAGTCCAGTGAACTGGTACACAGCACTACCTGCACTGGTGTAGGTAACACTAAAAATTACCTGTATCACTCAGAAACAAGGAAGCACAGATCATGCTAAAAAACTAGAACTCAGAAAAGAACTTAAACTCAAATCATACTCAGACTTTGAGAAGTATGTGTCACTTTTCAGAAACCATTGCCAATTTATACTTTTATACTGCATATAGTTAGTAACAGTAAATGCAGCAAATAAAAATCCACATATGCCTACATGTATATATAAACCCAGTACAGGGACCAGTGCAGGTTAGGTAAGAAGCAGGATAGCAGCTAGATTATTAGCACGCAATGTAAGTGTACGTCAGTGTATCTTTGAAACAAAATTATTCAGGCATACTCCGACATGAAAACTGCCAATGGCAAGACAACATTCGCTAGTTTGGGCCATCATAATAAGATGCTAACAACAGATAAGTGTCCTAAAATTAGGGCATCAGATTTGTGGGTAATATTTATTACACTCCATAGTCATATCAAATACGTTAATAATCCCCATGAGCATCCTGATATGGTTTGGGTCATGGTAAGTTGCTAATTGTCCTGTCCCTGGTGCTGAATCTACAGTGACTGTACAGTACTGCACGGCACTGGAAAGGGATCACATGAGTAGTCCTGATTTCGTATGATTTTACTATCATTGACAGCGTAAAGCTTAATAATTCACAAAAATATGAATACCTTATTAAATGAACTGAGCATAAATAAATGTACAGATAAATTGCAATCAACAGTAATCATAACCAAACATAAATATAATAACGTAAATAAACCGACCATAAAAAACCTGGTAAAGAAACTACCAATCAATCCAAAAAGTTGAAATAATACACAGCCTGTTGCTACGTAAAATTGGTCCAGTTTTGTAGAAACCTCAGCATATTTTGATATCCCAAAATAACATGGTGATACCCTGAGGCACGTCTGAAATGACACGGTTGATTTGGCCGTCCCTGGCAGCCGTGCCAGTTGGAATCTGCAGACAGATAAGATAGGAACCTGAGGTTCATGGTTAGAGTACAGCACGTGAGTCGGGAGATGGATGATGCAGGCAGAGAGATTCCCAACCTGGTAGGGGGAATGGGAGGGCACTCATTGGTATGGCTACTATCCGTCAACCTAGACACAGGCACGTACACTCATTTGCATACTCGGGAATGGGTGGCCACTCCTTGGTATGACTACTATCCGTCAACCTAGACACACGCACGTACACTCATTTGCATACTCGGGAATGGGTGGCCACTCCTTGGTATGACTACTAGTACCATCCGTCAACCCAGTAACATGCACATACACTCATTTGCATACTCGGGAATGGGAGGGCACTCCCAGGGATGACTACCATCTATCAACCCAATCACATGTACGTACACTCATTTGCATACTCGGGAATGGCTGGGCACTCCCAGAGATGACTACTATCTATCAACCCAATCACATGTACGTACACTCATTTGCATACTCGGGAATGGCTGGGCACTCTTTGGGACGACTACCATCCATCAGCCTAGTGATTTGCATACTCGGGAATGGCTGGGCACTCCCAGGTATGACTACCATCTATCAACCCAGTAACGTACACGTACACTCATTTGCATACTCAGGAATGGGTGAGCACTCCTTGGTATGGCTGCTAGTACCATCCGTCAACCCAGTAACATGCACGTACACTCATTTGCATACTCGGGAATGGCTGGGCACTCCCAGGTATAAGGTCTCGGACCGGAGTTTTTTTTCACGATTTTGGATCCGGCGGACACCCTCAGACCGAAGGGCTATAACTCCGCCAAAAAAAGTACGCCGGGAAATCTCATTACATCAGTCAACGGAGGTTTCCAGCCGGCTTCCGATACAATTTTGGTTATTGTCCGTCGACTCTATAATTTGGGTAGAAACTGTAGTTAAACGTAAATTTTGGATACGAAAAATGTATTTTTTTGGCAGTTTTTTCAACGGACCTGCTTGGAAAAAACGAATTTTCCCAGGCTAACGGCTTATATGCTGAAATAGCTTACTACTTTCTGTTTCTGAAAAACAGAAAAAAAATATAGGTTGTTGCGATAAGTTTTTCGCAAAATCCGGTGACGCGAACCCCTAGAAATTCCACATAGAACGCAGCTATTTGGGTCATCAGGCGACAAACCGCATCACCCTTGCTCGCGGACTAATACCAAAAACGCTTCGCTGGCCGTCCAACTTCACCGCGACGAAAAACACTACAATCCCAAGGCTTTTTGATCAATTCAAAACCTAGTTGAAAATCTACAGCGATCGCCGAGCTATGGGGAGCCAAACCTAGCGTGACAACCTCGCAGATCCGGCGATTTACTGCGCACTATTTGGAACCCTGGTCAGAATTAAACTCCGACCCGGAACCTTAACTACCATCTATCAACCCAATCACATGCACGTACACTCATTTGCATACTCGGGAATGGATGGGCGCTCCCAGGGATGACTACCATCTATCAACCCAATCACATGTACGTACACTCATTTGCATACTCGGGAATGGGTTGCCACTCCCTGACTGCAGGATAACTACCATCCATCAACTCAGTCACACGCACACATACACTCATTTGCATACTTGGGGGAGATTCATTGTTGCAGTGTGGTGGGACTGGTGATTTGATCTTTGAAATAGTGTGAAACTGACGTCGTTGATGTCACATCACATCAATATTCTATCATAGGGCAATAAAAAAATTGACACATCTCTATGCAAAACAGTGTTGTTAGTTTGTACACAGTTTGAGTGTATTTGGTATCAGTATTGCATGCTGAGATCACTCATAAATGCACACAGGGTTATCTTTAAGATTGAAGTGTTGATTGGTGTCGTGGAGTGTCAGAGGGTCACAGTTTTTCATCAGATTGGCTGATGGCAGCGGATCATATTCTAGAGAGAGCTGTACACATCTCCATTCCATCTACTTGTCCTGGAAAAATGTGATCAGATCCTGGGAGTTTGGCTACTTCAGTTGTTATGTTGTAATGTTATGTTGTGTGTGTGTAACTAGTACAGAAACACTGGTCTGTGTAGTAAATGGAGATGGGCTATATAGATCTATCACATATTCTGACTACAGTCGTGCAGGTTAGATTGTAATACTTTTCGTTTGCTAGTATTTTGTTCGTACAACTACTGATCCATCACCTTTCTTTGATTAAAGAACTAAAATAATGTAACCAGTACGTTAATTGTGAATGCAGGCCTGAACCTGCTCATATTGTGTGGAAGAAAGGTCCAGTTATGAGGATTTTAATCAATTTGGAGTCAAAGTTTTTACGTATCACAAGCAAGGGAACTTGTTGCGAAAAAATAAACATCTACCCTTGTCTATGCAAAATAGCCTTTGCAAAGAAGCACCTCCTCTCTCTTATTCCCACATGTGATTGTTAAATTATAGTGATAATATGTCATGATAACCACTAAAGTTTCTATTCTCTGTTTCCAGCCTGAAATGTCAGTGCGAGATATCCCTGCACACTCACCTGTAGGTATTCACTTCGGCCACAGCATCATACAGGGATGTCTCCAGGGCACACACACCCCCAAGATATGGATGGGCTGGTCTGAACCTATTTCTGAAATACTCACACCAGCCCACTGACAATGTCAGATGGCAATCTCTAGGTTTAAATTAAGGAAACCAACCTGTATATTTTTTTTTATTCTTAAACAACCAGTACTTCTAGATCTCTCACCTGCTTACGTTTCAATGGCTATTTGACACCTTCCTCAGAGCTTCTGACTTGAGTGCTGCTTCTTGCTGCTATATGTATCTGTAGTCAACGTAGGTGGTACGTTTTAGTGAGCAACAGTACTCCAGTCAGAAGTTCTGATTAAGGTGTCTGATAGATTTCAGAATGTAAGCAGATGAGAGACATTACTGGTTGTGTAAAAAGAAAACAACAATATCCTATGTTCTACCAACCTGATGAAATAATTTTTGGCAAACCAACCTGTGTTACAACGTGAAATTGGACATACCGGTAAACTCTAATTAAAAGTTGACCACCAGTTCTCCAACTAGACCATCCGTTACCGACTGCCCAAACGTGGGGACATCCCTGGTGTAGAAGCTTGGTGGTGGGCACAGCGGTTAACACGGCCTTTGGTTCCTCTCTGTCTCCAGCTCTCTTCCTCATTTCAAGCTTTTTTTCTTGTACTTGTAGATCTCACATCCAGGGGAAGCAGGTTTTTTTAGCACGTCGCCTGCTAGAACGTACTGCACCTGCGCAAAACCTGTCATGTATTCTGCATAGCAGAATGTCTCATATAAGTTGGTATTTGCGCCATCCCGTCTGTAGTTTCCAAATGTTATGTTGGAAAAGATATTGTCTGCAACAGGCAAAACTCTGATGCAACGTTGACCAACGTTGACCGAAAACCGTCAAAAGTCAGGGTTTCACGCAGGCGCAGTACCTTCTGCTGACGTGCTGTTTTTTTTAGATATTGCTGTGGAAAACTGGGTTAAGGATTGATGTACAATACTGGTGTTTTAAACAACAACAGAACTGGTTGAATCTCCTGTAGTGTCCTGTATTGGGAAATGGTAATAGTATATAAACAGAACATACAGTAGCCTTTTTATCTTGGTATTATTTTTTCCTGTTGCACTTCCTCTACTGCTCGCTAGGTGGTGCTTTGTCTTGTTGCAGCTTTCTTTTTACAGCCACAGTGTGGAGTTGGGGAAAAACCTCTATGTTAGCAACGAACTTGGTGTTGTTCCTTCAAGTCAGTAGGCTGTGAATATACAGGAATATATGGAATACATGGAAGTTGACATTGGAAACTGTGGAAAGAACAATAATTACCTACTTAACATTGTATAAAGCAAGGCCTAAAAAGATGTGTTCATATTTGTATTCCAAAATACAAATGGTCATTATGGTTCAATATTAATGACACATGTCGTTGGAAAATAAAGTATCCAGAATCTATAGTTTCCATAAAGCCATAGCGACTTCTCATACATGTACTTATAAATGTATAGATTCTGTACATAGTCTCATAGAAGGAGTACAATGTAGATACATGTGTTATTCATTTGATATTCACAATTGATGCCGATGTGAAACTGAGCCTTGACAAAATCTTTTCTCTGTTTACTGCAGTTTCTGTACACAGTTATTCCATATGAGAAGAAAAACTCCCCTGTGACAACTGAGGATCTTCAAATACTTACTAAAAGTAAGTGAAGTAAAGAGCTCTTTGAGGTTGTATTCATGTACAATCATATATAAGTTTAGCTAACTCATCAACTTTTTTATCAGTTAATTATACTGGACTGGTAACGTATGATGTACTTGTAGTGTACAGGCCATGCCTCTGTCTAACTTACAACTTGTATCCTTGTTTCTAAAGTGACATAAATGGTACAAAAATGTAGAATATAACAAGCATTTGCACAATGCACATCTATTACAACTAATCTTGAAAGTTCATCTGGGGTAGAAACTCATTATGAAGCAAGTTTAAGCTGTAATTTCCATCACAAGAAATTTTCAACTGTGCAACTCCAGTCTTTGTCAAGGAATCAACAATCCAGTGGATCAAACATTTTTTTCATTCCTTGACCAAAAATTTTAAGTCCAATTTCTAGTGTTGGTCGGAAAATTAGAGTTGTGCTTCACAAGTATGACAACTGTAGACTACTAACGTTGCCCATCTTCCTCCAGTATTGGTAGCCATGTCTGAAGACAGCGACAAGGTCCCCAGTTTGTTAACTGACTACATCCTCAAGGGTGAGTTTTCCTTTCTTCATGTGTATTTTAGTCTGCTCAAAGCTTGCTTTCTAATATGCATGAAGTTAATTATTATTGCATCATGTTAAAAATTTAAGTACAGCAGGGTTTTCAATAGTTATGTTTCACATTAAAATTCATTTTGATTTTGTGCATGAGTTTCAAATTGCATGACTTCTTTCATCTTAGTCTGTGAAATGTATGCTTTTAGTAATGAAGATTTATAATAACATTTCTCAATATTGAAATCTTATCTTTGCATACAATTAATGGTTTGTTTTTGCATTGTGGTTTAATTTGTGTTTTTATTTTTGCATTTGTGACTGAGTTTTGAGTAAAATATACATTTTCATGATCCATTCACTTATTCACTCACAAAACAACCCAGTCACCAGCATAGCCTGACTCAACTGACTCGTCATATCTCACCCATGATGTCACCAGTCATGTGACTTCACCAGCCAATCAGCACATTTATATATAATAACACTCTGACAGGGTTTGCACAGTCAGTGATAGTATTCAAAATTTCTTCAAAGGCCAAGAAAATCTGAGAGCTAATGTGCATTACCTTTTTCGATAGGAAAATTCTCTGATGTTATAATAGAGACATGAAAAGCCCCATGATTTGGCAAACAGGATTGTTAATACTGTAGGCCACACCAATTTAATTTGTTGGTTCTCGGATTCGCCTCTTCGTTTTTTTCTGATTTGCAAAAAAAAAATTTGATTCTGGTCCTGAATCAACTGAAAAATGCTCATATTTTGCCCCCAACAGTTGAGGAAAGTCCTTTTCTTCCTAGTTGTTACAGTTTTCCCATCTATCATTGCAGTGGTTTGATTAAAAGTTCAAAATTCAATGTTTAAATTTCAACCCAGCCTTTTGTGTTGACTTCATGGCTCATTCCGTAGCATTTAAGCCTATAATGGGATGCCTAGACCTGTTTTTATTTGTTTATTTTTTTTTCGCCATGTCGCTTCATATTTTTTCTGAAAAAATCCGAGAACCAACAAATTAAATTGGTGTGGCCGTAAGACCAGATTGTACAAACCCTGTTATGCTCAGATCAGGGCTATGGCCAGATCCAAAGTTATAAGTTGTCATAATCATTCTCAATTTTTGTTGCAAACCCACACTTACGTTCTGGCATGATGTGGTATTATTTATTTATGTCATATTCACTCATTTTGTAAACACGGTGGAACCGCGAGACGTTTTGTACTTCATCAGCTGAAAAATTCTGTCCAGTGACAGGAGTACAGCTACAGGCGAGAACCCTGATTCAGATTATAAAGTTAACGTTTGTCACTTTAACCAGATATTCTCATATTCTGTAACTTAAGTTCTAACCTGTCTAACATCATCCCAGGCCATTGTACAAGGGGAGGCTGGTGCAGGGGTATAGAACTGCCATTGGTGTTGAATTATTAGACCTCATTGGTCACACATTGAAGTTTGATGCTTTTCTAGTTTCTATTGGATCAAATATATGTATTGGAAGTGGATTGTATGATAGATCAAAAGCCACAGAAGTTACAGAAAAAGTACAGAATGATCCTGACAAATGTCTCATACTAATGTAATTCTAATTCTGTACATTGTATTTTGGATAAGTTGAGAAACTGAAAAAAAAAGTAACTCTCTTTGTAAAAAAAAAGAAGCAAGAATCAGTCGCAAGGAATTCTCTTTAAGTTCAACCATTTAAATTAGATCACTGTTGTACGTCTCTGATTCAACTAGCATTCAGACAAAAAAATCCCTCAACATTAGGATGTACCTGTAGTGAGGCATTCTAGACCCCATGATGGTAGTTATATACCCTGTGCCCACCCCCTCTGCTCTAACCCACACACCTCTAGTCTACTTCCCCGCCTCAACTAACAACATCCTCCCCTCCTGCTCTGGTGATCAAAATATACTCTCGCTCTTCTAAACCCAGCTTGCATGCACAGGGGACCAGTGTCTGGGGTTCGCATACTAGGTTTTACCTAAAGTCTCTACCACTTGTCTAATCTGGCTACTGCCCATTCCAACCCATTTGGCTGCATTTTGCCTCATTTGACCCTCCGTTTGTTTGCCTTGTTTGGTAATCACTTGCCTTATTTGGCAAAACACTTGCCTTACTTGGCAAAGCACTTGCCTTATTTGGCAAAACACTTGCCTTATTTGGCAACATATTTGCCTTATTTGGCAAAACACTTGCCTTATTTGGCAACATGTTTGCCTTATTTGGCAAAACACTTGCCTTATTTGGCAACATGTTTGCCTTATTTGGCAAAACACTTGCCTTATTTGGCAACATGTTTGCCTTATTTGGCAACATGTTTGCCTTCTTTGGCAAAGAACTTGCCTTATTTGGCAAAGCACTTGCCTTATTTGGCAACACACTTGCCTTATTTGGCAACGCCCGGCCTGTTTTGGCAGGTGCTTGACTGACTTATTTCCATCTTATTTACACCATGCCTTCAGCCCTCTTCTGATGGAAAACTAAGTAACAATCAGCAACATGTGAGTGCCTTATACAGACTACTACAATGGTTTATAATAATAATAATAATAATAAAATACCCTCCCTGTAATAGCACCAACCTCAAATCACAAAGTCACTAATCTTACAGATAATCTCTCACCTGATACAAGAGTGGAAAATAATTCTCTCTGCATGTCTAATTACCGGTAATTAATCAATTATGGGATGTTAATCGATCAATAATCCTGACTGATTCTTATAAGGCTGGGGGAAGCAGGCTGGAGGTTGTGTTATAGAGACATCAGTAAACCTCAGTAGAGTAACTGCACATTGTTGTTTGCTATCCGGTTAGTCCATAGTTTTGCACATCTAATCTTTGTCTTGTTGCAAGAAGCTGTCTGTTGTTGTTTCGGGGTTTCACTGTCGACACTGAGGCTGGTGAGGTCACAAAGCGGGTTCAGTCCTTATACTAGTATCCCTGGCATGTAGTGGCAAGATTCTGAATATTTTGTACGCTAAGAAAAGCCTTCCTTCATTCATTCATCTGATGTTTGCTGTCTCCAGGACCTCAGCTTGACAGTGAAATCCCATTAATTTGGATGAAGAACTTGCTGTTAACCTATATGTACATTGTATAACAAAGTACTGAACATATACATGTAGCTGTTTGGTCAACTTTTCTATCTCACTAAAAAGTAGATACCAATTCTGTAGAGTGTAAAAAAAAGAAAAAGAAAGTTGCATGTATTGTACAATTAGTGCTGTTTATTAATCAACAACACATTGACATGCATGCTGCATTGGCTGACAATTTTAAAACCTAGAACTCGTGCTAACCTTTACATTGGAATCAATGATTCTTTCACATAAGATACTAGACTTGCTACTGATAAGATGTAGTCTGAGTCATCATGACAATGCCGAAAGAGATTACTTCCAGGAAGACGTTATTGCCCAAGATTCACAATTTTAGGCCACACCAATTTAATTTGTTGGTTCTCGGATTTTTTCAGAAAAAATATGAAGCGACAGGGCGAAAAAAAATAAAAATAAAAACAGGTCTAGGCATCCTATTATAGCCCCAAATGCTACAATATGAGCCATGAAGTCAACACAAAAGGCTGGGTTAAAAGTTAAACATTGAATTTTGAACTTTTAACCAAACCACTGCAATGATAGATGGGAAAACTGTAACAAGTAGGAAGAAAAGGACTTTCCTCAACTGTTGGGGGCAAAACATGAGCATTTTTCAGTTGATTCAGGACCAGAATCAAATTTTTTTTTTTTTGCAAATCATCAAAAAACGAAGAGGCAAATCCGAGAACCAACAAATTAAATTGGTGTGGCCTTAATCGAATGGTCAAAGATGCATGCAAAGGAAAGAATCACACAAAGGAAACAGCACCAAGATGCAGCTGTGTCACACAAAGAAACTGTACAAAAGAACACAAAGATGAGTTGATTAATCCTTAGACCAGGATATAAGAAGTGTTTTAAATAAAAAACAAGTAGTTTTTATTTGCACTATTGCTGTTTAGGAGATTCAACCTTCAGGTCTGAGACAGGTTAGATGATAATGTATGATTGCACTTTACAGGTTCTTACTCGGTTTGTTCTTTTGTTTGCTTGTTGTTTCCTGACTTGTTTGTTGTGTTATTTGCAGTGTTGTGTCCGTCACAAGACCTGATGATGGTTCCAACATGAGACACGACTGACCCTGTAACGCCCCCCCCCCCACCTTCCATCCCCGCACCCTGAGATGCCCTTTGGAAGATCCCCGCGTTCCACAGCCCCAACTCTCTCAGGACCTGACTCGTATCAACTGCTATGGGAGGAGCGGAGAGACAACTAACTAAAAAATATATAACGTTATATTTAGGATGTACCAAGACAACAAAGGCCAACAAACTTTTCACACAGGCAAGAAGGAAGATCTTCAGAAGCCTGTAAGCACAGTTGCTGTTGAGATGTGGAAGATTGAATCTTATTCCGGTTGATTCGGGTCAGGTGGCCAGCCAACACTGTCAACAACAAGAATCTGCAGCATTGAAGATGATTCAAATGTCTTCTCCATTAGTCCGAGTTTGGTTAGACTAGGAGATTCCTTTCGCAAGGTCTCAGCTCAAGCTAAGGCGGTTCCAGATGCCTTGACTATAAACTACGATGTACGTGCAAGTCAGACCCAGTTGTGTAAAACCTCGGAAAGCTATTCGGCTATTGCAAGTTGTATTAATGGGTATATGTAGACCAATGTTGTAACCTCTTTATAAAGTAGGTAGGGGCAGAGTCAAAGCGTGGATGGCTTCACATCTTTGTCTTCCGTGTTAGACCAATTCTAAATTTTATACACCCCTGCACTGCGAATGAGTCACTCCATGAACCTGTCACAATGTTTCCGGTAACCGGTCATTCCATTCACAGTGCGGGGGTGTTTGGGCTTTGGTTTAACAGAGAAAGACATCAATTCAGATGGAAGCGCGGAAACGTGTTGGCGCCTGCCATGCTCTTTTCTAACTCTGGAGGAAACAAATGCTCATGACTGTATAACCATGGTGTAACAATTCATAGTGAGGATGGCTGTTGGCTCTGGACATTGTAGCATGTATGTGAAGAAAAAGAAACCAACTGCAAAATATCCCCGCTTCTAGAAGCTCATGCATGACTCCCCTCCCTAGCAAGATTATGTGTATAACTGGTGTGGAAGTTTGTATATGGAGAAATAATAATAAGTGCAAATGCAAAGGTAACGTACAGCAAGTCATTGATATGGATGTGTCTGTCCAGCGATGGTGCTAAGGTACAAACCCTGGCCTGTCATCATGTAGTTTAGCTCTCACCTGTTTAATCATCATTGTCAATCCTGCCATGTAAAAATGCGCTTCCAAGTATTGTGGATAATATGTGTTACTGATAAAGGGATGGGAGGTTAAGTTAGAAGGAGGAGATGGCCATTGGAAAATGTAGTTCGAAGGTAAAGCATCATGGAGGAAGTCACCAATGCAGTTCTCACAAGAGTTGATAGGTGGTGCTCGTGTACTATTCAAATGACTCAGGTTATATTGTCCCAGTACGTCACACCAACAGCATTGAAGTAAATATGTATAATCTGCAGGTCTGCCTGTCGTAAAGGGATAACAATTCTATACTGCAGTCTCACAAAAATACGAGAAGAAAGAACACCCTGTGACTGTGCCATTGAAGAACTGTTGAAGCATCGTTTAGGCACAAAGTTTCTGTTGGAACACTGAGAGCACCAACTGACATCCAAATTGAGAACTCTATATACTAGCAACACCCACTGTTGGTGCAGCCTTGAAAATGCACTGTCTGAAACAGGTAATATAATCATATTGTGTGGGAGTGGAGAGGTATTATGATGCAAAAGAATGCTGGTTTGGACAAAAATCAAAACTTAGGCAGAAAGGGAAGTTGCATAGAGGGCAGGTTAGATAGACTTTGTAATGCTACTAGATTTAAGAAGGACATCCTTGTGTGTATGTAGATGGTAACTATCAGTGAAAACAAGCTTTCTGGGTATCAAAATGCATTGGCCATTTAATGGTGTAAAGTTGTTTAGATTATTCTGCAATGCTTACAAGATTTTCCTTTTGTAAAAAAAATGTACATTACTGTGATTATTTTGATTGCGAAATTTTATGTTTTGTACTTTTGTATTATTTATTCTTGTTAAGTTTTTGAACTGCCAAATTGTTGCAATGTTAGAATAAGTGAAATGAATTCTACATTAAATCTAGAATTTGATTAGTTTCCTTTGTAAGGAAGTTTTGTGACCTTGGTTTTAAGTAACTTGTGACGGGCCAACAAGAAGCACCAGCATTCGTAACTTTGTATAATGTTGCAGGTTCATATTGCAGACTTATGTATATTTTGATGGTGCCTCTGTTTATGATATTTTGATGGTTGGATAATGTATGAACACGTATAAGCATGGTCCTGCAACAATTAAGGCACAGCTTTGATGGCCAGTTGGCAAAAGGAACAGAGTAGAGTGTACATACAGTTGCTGTGAAAGTCAGAATGAGTGGATAGGCATGCCCGTAATGGTGACGCCTTCGTAAGTTGCGAGACATTAACCATGATACATGATACACACATGCTGGGTAATAATAAATGGGCACTCTTCTACACACCGAGAGTTTGTCTTTTCTGATCTGTAAGTGCTAACCTGCTCACCTGTAGGCTATTGCCTGTTGACCACATTTGGTTTGTCAGTTGATATTAGGACTCTGTGCACAGCTCCTCAGCATTTTTGAACTTTTTGTTCTGTTGGCCAGGACTTTCTCCTCAGACTTTTTTCAATACTATCTTGGCATCACAAAAAAGGAATGCTGTAGGTATGACACAAGCATGGTCACTAATGATAATAACCACTCAATTACATAAAATTTACAGAAAATAATCTCTAGTGTCCAAGCTTGTTTGGAACATTCTCTTTTTACAATTATTTCTTACCAAGCTTGACATTCATCTATTAAGCATTGAAGGGTTCAAAAAGTACAGAAGTCGATGCACCAAAGGTGCAAGAATGAAGCCAGGAGTTGTGTTGCTGTTGCTGCTGCCGGCAACATGTGCAAGTTCTTTTTCATGAGTTTTGCACAGATGGCGCCTCCTAAAGCCTGATGGCCCAGGGTGTGAAGCTTCCAGGTTCAGCTGCAGGGAACTGCAAAAGAGCAGCAGGAAATAGCATTGTTTAGAACACTGCAGCTGTTCCGGTGCAGTCCTCTGGAACACACTTCCTCCTAATGTCAGAAATGCAAAAACACTCAGTGTCTTCAAGAATAGCTTTTCTTTACTCAACAGTTAATATGATTTGTTGTTAATTTTCCATTTTGCCTTTAGACATTGATATGCAAATTCAGTTCCATTATTATTTATATCATTTGTCATATTTATTTCGTATGTTTTATGTACTTTATTAGTCTGTACAAGACTACGTCCCTACCTGTGCAGTAAACTGGTCCTGGCAGGCCATGCGGATGCGCTCGGCCGTTGCGGGGCTGTCCAGGCGGAACGTGCCCTTCAGCCCCGCGTCCGCCCGGGCAGAGGAGACGGCGTCTTTGATGGCGAAGAAGACAGACGAAGCCAGGAGGAGTGGAGGCTCTCCTACAGCCTGGGGATGGAGGGATATGGACAATTATAATGAGTTATAGATATTCAAACTTCAAACAGTTAGAAATGCTTCTGTCATGTCTGTAATTGTTGAATGTTGAAAGGATTTTTAACTTACATGTAGTCCACTGCTGGCTTTTCACAAGTCTTGGGGGACTTGTATTTAATCAATTTAATTTCTTCCTTGTGGGATTTCCTTTGTTTCACCTTCCTCCCAGTAAATTTTTGGTAGAAATTAGAGAATTAAGAAATTTAACTGGCAAGCAATTACACCACAGGGTGTCTGCTACAGCAACAATTACCATGGTGACAGCAGATTGGTCCAGGCAATAGACCTACATGTATGTGTTTGAATAATGAAAAGAAGAAGAAACTGCAAATATCTTTTCCTTCTGCGAAGGTAAACGTAATAACCAGGCCTACCTTGGATGAGAAGATTGCCTTGTCGTTGGGCGCGCCTCTCAGCAGGGACACGTTGAGTTGGACGGGGATGTCGGCAAAGCCGGGAATTTTGTACATGCCGGGTCCTCGCGAGTACAGCACCCCATCAGGCGAGTAGACCTGCTCCTCCATGGTGAACAGGCCGTAGCCCTGCACAAACGCTCCCTCGATCTGGGGGACAATTCAGCAGAGTTACCGAAATCCATAACAACACTAGAAAGGCAACACCTTCATAAGAAAATGCATAATGTTTGGTTTTTGCAGAGTCTAGTCCAACAAACTACTGCCTGCTCTGTTTATTCTTACTCAAACACATTCATATACAGTCAAACCTGTCCATCCAACCAACTGTATCAACCAACCAACCCTATCAACAACCACACTGAGGCAGTCCTGACCTATTTTGCATAGTAATTCTCCTCTTTCAAACAACCAACTGCCGACCACAACCAGCAGACACTTTGTTTTGGGTCAGAGGGGGTATTCACACTCCACTCAACAACAAGTTCAATTGGCAGCGGCAATCCGTCCAGCGGCCATTTCAAAAATTCTTCATACAAAAAACTCTTCAGTCACTGACCTCTCGAAATACTACATTATAACGTAACCCAACACCACTGTACCTGTCCAATGTCTATAGCAGGGTTCAGGCTGTCTCCCACGTCCATCACAATGTCTGTGCGCAGAACCTGTGGGGTACGGCAACAAGTTACTGCTTATTCGTGCGATGTATGTGTGTAAAACTTTACATCTAGTATCATCCTTCCTTTATAGAAGAACAGCCAGCAGAGTCGCTATACTACAGAAGACAAGACAACACATGCCGGTCAAAACTCACCTAATGCCCATTCCACGCCAATCTTGACACTCCAACCAACACAACAAAGTCTTACAATGCTCTATCATGACATATATATAGATTGCTATAGATATTCCTACTTTCCTCAGGCAGAAAGAGACTCAAACTCCCACAGAAATTACTCAGAACCTGCCAAGTTTAAGAAAACAGTAATCCGGCACCTGAGGAAACAATAACTAGTACGCATTGCACTCGCCCTCTGAGCACGTTACTCTAACTGAGGGGTGTGGCTCAGTATCCAATCAAGAACAAGATTAGGTAGAGTTAAGAGTCAGAATTATTGAAAATTCACAAACCATTGTTACAGTAATTGTACAGTTAACGAGCTTACTTGTCAAAAGGACCCTGATACTGTATTTTTTATCATTCGTATATAACTTTATATGTCTATGCTAGAGTTTATTGTATCACATAATGCACATGTAGAATGACTTTTCGTAGTTCGGTGCTTCTGGGGGAGACACCCAGTAATGTTCCTCATATAAATATTGTTTTTATCTGTAATGCGATTTTAACGATTTTAGATATTTTAAGCATATCAATATTGCCTGCCAACTTGTACACGAGTCTGTCAATTCAGCCTGTTGGCTGCTATTTGACTTGTCTTTGATTTTGATAATAATCCAGTCTAACTTGCAAGAGCCTGTTTTACCGTGTGGTCTCCAGTGAGGCAGTCAATCTCGACCTCTGACACGGCTGCTCCGTAGCAGAGGTAGTTAAACGGCCTCCCTTCGTTCTTCTGCATGTCATAATCAAGTCCTGGGGTCCTGGACAGACAACCATTCACAACAATGTAAGTCTTGATAACATTAATATTTTAACATTAAAACATAAAACATTAAAACATAATTTTGCATTAGTCAAAGTGTTGCAATTGCTCATTTACAATTCTGTATCTGTAGCCGATTGCGATATAACTGCCCTTCAGCATAACACAAAAGCTTTGAGTCTGTATCGGTATAGCCGATATAACTGCCCTTCAACGTGACACACCAGCTCCTGTATCTGTATAGCCGGTATAACCGCCCTTCGGCGTAACACCCCAGCTCCTGTATCTGTATCTGTATAGCCGGTATAACCACCCTTCGGCGTAACACCCCAGCTTCTGTATCTGTATTGCCGGCCCTTTGGCATAACATGCCAGCTTCTGTATCTGTATAGCCGGTATAACCGCCCTTCGGCGTAACACACCAGCTTCTGTATCTGTATAGCCGGTATAACCGCCCTTCGGCGTAACACCCCAGCTTCTGTATCTGTATCTTTATGGCCTGTATACTAGTAGTAACCTCCCTTCCATGGAACATACCATAGTTCTAGAGAAAAAGCCACAGCCTACAGACCTGTAGAAGCCAGTGGCATGGTGACAGCTGGCTATAGTACACTGAACAACCCGTTACACCTAAATGTTGCACATCTTTAGCATTATATGAAGCTATCTAGTGACGATGCTCCTACTGTACTTGGTAACAGCGAGTCTACAATTAGTTATAGGGAAAAAGTCCCAGCCGACGGACCTGTAGAAGCCAGTTGCTGACAGACCGACTCTGTCGAAGTACGCCGCCCGCACCCAGTCCTCCCAGGAGCCCTTCCCCATGTACGGCTCCAGTCGCTGCAGGATAGTCTCACAGGCAAGCTGGGAAACGGCATGGATCAAGCTATTAGCACATAACTAGTGCTGCATACCGGTTCACTGGACTTGGATCCAGAATTGTAAGAATGTTTAGGTTCAAGTCCAATAAAAACCTAAAGACAAGGACCGAGTCTGGACTTATTACCATAAAAGACCATTTCACATACCCTTTTTCTTTCCAAACCACCTAAAACCTTCTATAGAATGCAAAATCTTTGTTGCAAAATGAAGAAAACATTGCCATCGGGCATCGTCAAGTACCAGCCTCCATGTTATTTGGCCAAAGTTTCACCCAGACAACATTGCAAAGTTGCCAACATTCAATTTTGTATATGCCATGGGTTTAGGTCCGGACTTACAAGTCCGGAACTGAACCTAAACCTCTGGACTTGAATCTGGACCTGAACCTAAAATTGAGTTTAGGTATGCAGCACTACACATAACACAGTGTCATTCTGAGGATGCACAGTCAAACCTGCCCAATAAGGCCTCACTGGGGGCTGAGGTAAATGTCATTTTTATAATGCACAATCAACGACAACAAGATGTGATCCAGAGATGAGAGCTTTATTCTGGACATCTCAAGGAACAACAACTATGGCGGACAAAGAGGTCGCCGCAGGAGGTGACCTCTAGTACTAGGGTCACGACCTTTAGGGTCAACTCAACCTGATAACCAATATAGTGTTAATATAATATAATGACGAAAAGTGATCTTCCTGGACAGGTGGCCTTCTTAGGCAGGTCACTTAATGTTTGTGCCTGTGGAAAAAGGGAAGTTTGGGACTGACAATGTGGTTGTTATAGACAGGTGGCCATCTTGAAGAGGTAGCCACTTTGGCAGGTTTGACTGTACTTGTATACTGCAAGTCTACTGATCTACAGCACATAATGACTAAATAACTGCCCAGTATATCTTCACTGTGTGCAAGAATTGCTTGTTGTTGTTGTTGATCAGCTTTTGTTGATCAGCTTTTGTGTGTCCGGCTACATGTGGTTCACCAGTCCTATACGGGCTCTGAAGGTTCTGCCACACGTTGGGCACAGGTGGGTTGCTGGAGTCAGGGATGTGCAGACGGCTCTGAACGCACGTTTTCCTCACAGCCTCTACAATCCTGGTTTGCTCATAGAAGATGGCACCGCTATGAAATAAAGACTAAGCTTTAACTTCCAACACTTAGATTACAGAATTGGGACTTACCCAAATTTTCGGTTGACTCCATCAACCTTGTTCACGGAATGGACCCATCTACTCTTGGAACTTGACGTCAACGTTCATGTCAAAGACAGGGGGCGACACAAGTTATCTGGCACGTATGACCCGCTACTGTGGTCACGTGTCTCTGACATCACGTTCCAAGAGTAGACGGGTCCATTCCATGAACAAGGTTGATGGAGTCAACCGAAAATTTGAGTAAGTCAAGTGTTGGAAGTTAAAGCTTAGTCTTAATTTCATAATGACTTGTACCAACACAGATGAACTTTCATGCTAAGATGGCACCGCTGTTGATGTGGCATGAAAACATGATTTGGGGCAAAATGATTTTGGGCTGCTGTTTCCCAGGAAGGTGTGTCGATGTTGAAACTCTTAAAAGAGGTTTTCAGTGTGTCCTTAAAGTGCTTTTTCTGTCCTCCTACTGATTGCTTGCCTTCTACCAGTTCACTACCGGCTCCATGGTAGTGAGTAACAGTGGGGAGGTGGTGGTAACTACAAAGCATGGCACCCAGGCTATCATTCTAAAAATTAAGGCACAAGATATTCTATAAGACACGGAACATTAGTCTTTATACCAGACCTTGATTGCCATTCCGTTGATATCAGAGCTGACACTGGCAGCAGTAGCAGAGGCGTTCGGCACAGTGTTGGTGCTCATCTCGGTGATGTGGATTTTGGAGGTGGGGATCCTCAGCACCCTGCTGGCCACCTGCACCATCTTGGTGTGCAGACCCTGCCCCATCTCTGTTCCACCGTGGGTCAGCAGCACGGACCCGTCTGTGTACACGTGCACCAGGGCACCAGCCTGATGGGGAGGTAAGACAGGAACATCACACGTGCACCAGGGCACATCACACGTGCACCGGGGTACATCACACGTGCGCCAGGGCACATCACACATGCACCAGGGCACATCACACATGCACCGGGGCACATCACACGTGCACCGGGGCACATCACACGTGCACCAGGGCACATCACACGTGCACCAGGGCACATCACACGTGCACCAGGGCACATCACACGTGCACCAGGGCACATCACACATGCACCGGGGCACATCACACATGCACCAGGGCACATCACACATGCACCAGGGCACATCACACGTGCACCAGGGTACATCGCATGTGCACCAGGGCACCAGCCTGGGGAGGCAAGACAGACACATCACACAAGGAAGAAAGATATGGTGGTACATATAGGCTCCATGTGTTTCATTTGTATGTACAAAACAATGTTGTGGTAAAAGCTGAGAATTGCGACTGTCAGTACTGTTCTCCGATTGGCAAAGTAGATGGAATGGTCAAGTTGAAAACTGAGTCCTACCTGGTCAAGATGTAATCCAAAGCCGATACCATACTTGATTGGGATGGCTGCCAAGCCACGTTTCTTCCACCTGTTCTCCCTGTTGTAAGTACAAATAAGTATTGTATTGCACTCTGTATATCATACCCGGGCCGCCATAATGTTTGATAACGGGTTCCGGACCGGGCCGGGCTCCATGGCTTCCACAGAACAATTCGAACGCGTTTCGCCCTAACCGCGTGAGCTGCTTTCGAAAATTCGAATACAGAATCTGAACGTTGGAACTGATGTTGTTGCATTTGAGGGGTATAGTGGCACCAACTTTTAGCTCATCTTGCATTGAAAGGCGTGTTTTCTTGGGTGGGTATGACATAAATAAAATACAACACGGTGTATTCCGCATCGCCCTCGGTCTCGGCCCTCCCGCGAGTCGAACTGCCCGACGGCCGCAGTCGGGCCGATACCTCAGGCGATAAGGAATACCCCGTGTTGTATTCTATATGTACCTGTATTGTATTGCACTGTACATGTACTCCAGCCTTGTCTATTATGCTTTTGCGAAGGTTTTAACCTTCAGGACGCTAAGGTAATCATCATACTGTGCTAATTAAGGTAGTCATAGGGTTAGGCAGCAGGGAGAAGGTTAACCTTACCCGTTGAACCTGTTGACCTGTCTGCGCCTGGTGTGGAAGTCACTCTTCTTCACACACTCCTGCCAGCAACGCTCCATCTGGCACCGCTCCAGCTTCATGTTGTAGTGAGTCAGGTCTCCCTCCCTGTTCATGTTCACCTCTCGCACCTGTTGGTAACAATGATAATTTATAATAATAACCAGGGACATGTCCCTTTATTGTAAGGTTTGTATGGGGGTGAGTAAAAGGAGGGACCCAGCTCCTCAATGGGCAGGGGCGCTACTCCCTGTCCGCCACCCTACAAGTGGGTAGCGGTGAGTACCCGTACTGTGAATGGGAGACTAAAGGTTATTTAGGGCATTTTTGAATGCCTGTAGGGTCTTGGCTTTAACTATGTGTTCTGGAAGTTTGTTCCAGTCTCTGACTGTTCTTGGAAAGAATGAGTAACAATGATAATAATAATAACCGCATGTTGGAGATGAGGGTTTGTATAAGATATGGGGATAGGCAGGAGGGAGAAGGTTAAACTCCATGTTGTAGTGAGTCGGGTCTCCCTCCCTATGTTCATCTCTCGCACCAGTGGAGATGAGGATTCGTATACAGGGAGTAGGAAGTCAACTGTCATGTTCAGTCAGGCAAATTTTGAAGAGAAACTATGTGTAAGGTAATGTTTCAAGTTAAAACTTTCGGTCCAACACAAAAATTCTCTCACCTAAGCTTTCGACCACTGCAGTCAATCTGGTCTTCCTCAGTAGACTGACCCAGTGAGGCCAGAGTACTGGTCAAAAGCTCTAGGTGAAAGAATTTTTGGGTTTATTTATTTATTTATTAGAATTTTCCAGACAACTGGATGGGAGGACAAAACAGGTGAATATACACCTTTGCTAGTTGTCCTCCCAAACGTTGGACCAAAAGTTTTAACTATAAACATGTAACTACCAACACAGATGAACTTTCATGATATTATGTGTATGGTACAGTGATCTGGAGTTCACCCAGTCAGCTCATCAAATGACGTCAATACAACATTTTTGCTTCCACATACAGAGGAAATTTAATTCCCCACATTTTATATCACTGATCTTGCCACAGTAGATTCATACCTTGAATTGTGAGATGCCACACTTGATAGCCACGTCAGAAATCCAACTCTCTGCCATAAAAAGTGCCTGCGGAACTCCAAATGCTCGGAATGATGTGTTGGATACCGTGTTTGTCTTGCAGACGTAGCCAACAGCCCGGACATTGGGAATGGTGTAACCGCCGTCGGAGTGTAACAAGGCTCGTCTCATAACCTGCAAACCATAAACTGCTAAGCTATGCCGGTATAGTAACTACATGATAAAACATTTGTCTATAACTGAAACAATCAAGATGTAATTTCAGACAAAAATGCCTTGTTTAGCTCAACAGGACACGTTTTAAAACTTCTCACCTAGACTATTCTGATAGTAAATATTAATGTCAGCTTTCTCAAATTAGAGTTGAAGTGTATCATATGCAAATTCTATAACCCATAGCATCTATCCTGATCTGATAAAACAATAAAACAAAAAATTGCTTGTAATTTTTACTTAATCCTAAGGTATACATTTACTGCAGAAAAAGGCATATTTATATTAATAGCAATTTTCAACAGGGATAAAGTATTTTTGTTCTGAGCATTACTACTCACCCCTATGGACACATCTTGAGAGTTCCCTGCATTACTGTACAGACTGATGTCCAGTGCCACAACTCTCCCGTCATTCATGAACCCAACCTGCAGAATGCAGCAGCAGGGTTAGGATGTTATTTGTTAACGTAGGTGATTAGCAATCAACACAATAAATGTTGTGTAGCTATAAGATTTTTGTCCAAACCAAATGAACATTTTGACAACAGCAACAATGATTGTGGTTGCAAAACTGTAAAATCTCCTCCAAGAGCCAGAATTCAATATGCTTTTACAAGAGGTCCTAGAGAAATTTCAATTTGATGAATAAATTAGCCTTTGCAATGCAAGTGGATGAGTAGCCAAATGAAATGAACCTGGGCATTCTGTGTTTATGGAGAGGTGCATACTTATGGAGAGGTGCATACTTCTTAACAATTTAATAGGCACCTTGTATCTGCTGAGGAAAGGATGCCTCTTTCCTATCATCATCATATCCTCATCTCTGTCCAACATGATCCTCACTGGCCGCTGAGCCCTGACAGGAGGGGGACAGAACAAGTGTCATCACACATTGGAACACAAGTTGGGTCACCTTTGATTCATTTTACAATCGAACAATTGAAATAAATAAACTGTTCAACCACATCAGAGCAAATGTTGAAGGCTTTAAGTAAATGCTTTCCAATTCTAAGGCTCACTTTAGACTAAAAACACTTAAATGGTTTTGGGGTGGAAAAAGGTTTCCGAAAAGCTAACTGTTCCCAGTCTAAAGGCAAAAAATTTTATAGGATTTTACAAAACATTTCCGAAACCACCTCCAGTGGCTTTCTGTCTGTATCTGTATAGCCGGTATAACCGCCCCTCGGCGTAACAAACCAGCTTCTGTATCTGTATAGCCGGTATAACCACCCCTCGGCATAACACACCTGCTTCTGTATAGCCGGTATAACCGCCCTTCGGCGTAACACACCTGCTTCTGTATCTGTATAGCAGGTATAACCGCCCCTCGGCGTAACACACCAGCTTCTGTATCTGTATAGCCGGTATAACCGCCCCTCGTGTAACACACCAGTTTCTGTATCTGTATAGCCGGTATAACCACCCCTCGTGTAACACACCAGTTTCTGTATCTGTATAGCCGGTATAACTGCCCTTTGGCGTAACACACCAGTTTCTGTATCTGTATAGCCGGTATAACCGCCCTTCGGCGTAACACACCAGCTTCTGTATCTGTATAGCAGGTATAACCGCCCTTCGGTGTAACACACCTGCTTCTGTATCTGTATAGCCGGTATTACCGCCCTTTGGCGTAACACACCTGCTTCTGTATCTGTATAGCCGGTATTACCGCCCTTTGGCGTAACACACCAGCTTCTGTATCTGTATAGCAGGTATAACCGCCCTTCGGCATAACACACCAGCTTCTGTATCTGTATAGCTGGTATAACCAACCTTCGGTGTAACACACCAGCTTCTGTATCTGTATTGTATAGCAGGTATAACCGCCCTTCGGTGTAACACACCAGCTTCTGTATCTGTATAGCTGGTATAACCAACCTTCGGTGTTTTGAAACCATTCAGTGGGTGGCCTGAAACCCTTCCTGCTAGCTCTAAAGAGAAAGGGTTTTGCGAAACAGTTTTGCCATATGCTAATGATAATCCCACACCACCAGGGTGGCCCGAAACCCTTTCACCCCTGTATCTAACGAGAAACCGTTTTTGGTGGCAAAGGGTTTTGAGGGTTTCCCGAGTGATAAACCACTTCCAGTCTAAAGTGAGCCTAAAAAAGATCACAACCATTTTAGTTCACAAGCTGGTGATACTGTTTGGATTGTAGCTCTTCAGAGAGGACATTCCTAGCCGTCTGCCTGTGGTGATACCGGTATTTTAAGTAGTGCCTGCCATCTATGGTAAAATAAATCATCAGAAATAACTTACTTGTGAGCTGCTACAGCGCAGACTGAACTAAGAACACATATTCGTGTCTCCTTCCCTCCAAATCCCCCACCTGTACAAGAGCAACAAAAATCATATGCATAATCTTATAAATATTCTCATACGTAAACACACACACACATGCACACACAAACACACGCACGCACACACACACGGGCACACACACACACACGTAAGAAAATACAGGATCTATGTATCTCAGTTATCTATCTATGATCTATGTAACACATGCACACACACACAAACACGCGCACGCACACACACACATGCACACACAAATGCACGCATGCATGCACACACACATGCACACACAGTCACACACACACATGAGAAAATACAGGATCTATGTATCTCAGTTACAATTACTAACAAAAAAAATTAAAAAAGAAAAAAACATTTGTAGTGAAGATATGCTACACTTAAATGTAAAGCAAATAGTCAAAATCATCCCCTGCTATTCAACTCTACTGCATCCACAACAGACAGTTTCCATGAAGACCCTGCTTAGAAAAGACAATGAGTTTTCCTCACCAATCCTCTTCACCCGGCAGACCACCCTGTTTGCAGGGACGCCCAGGGCCTTGGCTGCCAGCATCTAGTGAACAACAGCATAACAACTTTGGATGAAAGCTCTTCTGTGTTGGTAGAATCCATAGTTGTAAAGTTCAATCTTTGTTCCAACACTTTGGTCATCATGTTTCCGACTTTCAGAGAGTCAGAGAGTGCATCACACATCTGACCAATAAGATTGATGAGATTGACCAAACATTTTTGGTGAGTTCCTTTCTTATGTTGGAACAAAGCTTGAACTTAAAAACTGAGCATCACAACTTGTTTCTGATAGTTTCAAAGATGTATAATGCACACAAACACACGTGAAGGGAGGCTTTCTATCTCAATAGTAGCATGTAGCAAGAACACCACAGTAAAAAATATAGAACCAGACATTGTTGCTCTGACAGATGGTAACTGAAATGTCGGACGTAAAAACGCACTAGTTGTTGAATAAAGAACATCCTTATACAGTATCACAACTTTTTTTAATTATCATTTTGAAGATGTGCAATGGACACAAACAAATGTGAACGGAAGCTTTCTATCTCATGACAATGTAGCAATCGCACCACAGATTTCAGCACCAAGGACAGTCTAGTACCAAGCACCAAGGAAAATCTAGTTCTAAGTGATCACATACAGAGTGCAGGACAGAACATTATGGGACCGTGCCCTGAAACATACATAGGTGAAACTGAACGGTCACTTAAAACTAGATTTTCGGAGCACTACGTCCAAAGTTTCACAACACTTGAATATCGAGCATGAAAGTTCATCTGTGTTGGTACAAATCATTATGAAATAAAGACTGAACTTAAACTTCCAACACTAGATATAGAATTGGGTAAGTCCCAATTCTATATCTAGTGTTGGAAGTTAAAGTTCAGTCTTTATTTCATAACACTTTAATATCCCTGGACCACACAGTTACACTGGATAAGGACTACTTTGTGAGGAGCATGAGGGAGGCAGTTTACATCAGGGCCCATCAACCCTCTCTGAACCGTGGTGGTGGAAGATTCTGTCTTCTCGCCACTTTTGATTCGCTCCTGACGTCATCACGCTTCCGACGGAGGTCGACGAGATTGACCGAAAATTTATGGTGAGTTCCTTTATTGTATTGGAGCAAAGCGTGAACTTTACAACTAACCTGTCATGCCCGTAGCCAGGATTTTGAATGGGGGGTTTCGTTCCCACCTGCTTGTAGGGGACGATCGAGTGCTGTAGGCGTCAGGTGAGCGCCAAAGGCGCGAGGTTCCTAGGGGGGGTCTGGGGGCATGCTCCCCCAGAAAATTTTGAAACATGAACCTTCTAAAATGGCATTTCGTGCGTTTTTGAGAGGATTTCCAAGAACAAATCAGAGACAATTTTTATTCAAAGACAAAGGGAGCAGTTTTTCTACGATTCTAGTCCATCTTTTCAAGAAAAATCTTGGACCTTTACATACATAAAAAGTGGACCAAAAAGTGGACCTTTGAGCCTTGTGGGGGGGTTCTTCCAAACCCCCGAACCCCCTC